CTGGGTGGGGGTGGGGGGTGGGTAATCTCAGCAGGGCTCCGGGCAGAAGATATCTAGGGAGACCTACATTTTTCTGGAAAATTGAACAATGTATCCCCCCTCAATCCTTTTTATGTACTCTAATCCGACTGCAGTCATGCGGAAGAAGAAGAAATAGATCCCCAATAATTTTTCCAAGAAGCACACAATGCCACCTCTTAAAAAAAAATAGTGCTCCTGAACAGTGGAGGGAAAAGGACTGGTTTCCATGGCAACATCAATGCAGGTTCCCATAGATCAGATTCAGTCTAGCACAGCAGGGTGTTTATCTGACTCTGTCCTTTTGTCAGAAATGATCTGTTTCTGAGAACACAGACCTAAAGTTCAATTATTCAAAGTGGTCCTCAAAGATGGCTACCCCCCCAGCCTACCTCTGTCTCCTATCTCTCTTCAATTGTCTCTGTCTTTTTCTGTCTATGCCTTTCTGTTTCTCTCCAAGGGAATGGTGTCCAGAGGCTGTGGACTGACTTGATATAATTTATTTTTCAATTGGAGGTCCCTGGTGAGTGCTGTGCTGGGTTTGGGCCAGGTGCAGGGTGGGGCACGTGGCGGGATGGTAGCAGCCAGCCCTGCAGTCAGACAACATCCAGGCTCCTGGATCTGGCCTGGCAACTCCCTTCCTCTCTATGGTTCAGCTTCTTCATCCTTAAAATGGGGATAATAATTGTTCCTACCTCATTTTGTGAGAATTCAATGAAATAATGTTTCAAGATTTACCTACAGCAAACACTCAACAAATTGTGGCTATTTGGATAAGTCACTCAGCCTCAGTTTTCTCATTTGTAAACTGGAAATACTTATAAACACCCCCTTTCCTCCCATAGGTTTGCTGTGGTTTAAAATAATGTAATGGTCTTGAAGTGGCTAAAACAAAGAAATCAATTTCCTCCTTGCCTGCCTTAGGAAGCTTACGACCTCCCGTCCCTTTACTGCCAGGGCTCCCTTACGTCATCTACCACACATGCTTCAACACAGAGCCACAGGCTGCCCCATTTTCCCCATATATACTAACAGTTTTTAATTGCTAAATTTAGTTACACAAGTATATCTTTTGCAATGATAAGATTAATTTAAAGTATTGCTTTGGGGTCTCTGTCACGTTTTGCAAAACATTTCTTTTTAATTTTATTTAAACATTTACTTGTACATATTTGTGGGGCCAAAATAATTTTGATCAAACTCTTACATGCATTTTTTAAAAAAGAAAAAACATAACTGTAGACTTTATTCAGATCTCACCAGCTTTTCCATTAAAGTCGTTTTTCTGTTCAAGGATCCTCTATAAGATCCCACATTGCATTTAGTCGTCTCCTTTTTAAAAACTCTTCCAGTTAGTGACAGTTCCTCAGTCTTCTCTTGTCTCTCATGACCTTGACGCCTTTGAAGAGTGCTGGTCAGGTATTTTGTAGCCTGTTCCTGAATTTGGGTTTGTGTGATGTTTTCCCGTGGTTACACTGAGATATGGATTTTGGGGGAAGACTCTCACAGAGGCAAAGTGCCCTACTCAGAGCATCGTATCAGGAAATATGTGATATCGATGGGTCTTATTACTGGTGATGTTAATCTTGATCCCTTGGTTTAGGTGGTCTTTGCCAGTTTTCTCCACTATAATGTTACTTTTTTTTCCTTTCATAATTAGTAAAAAGTTGGGGGAAGTTACTTTGAGGATAATGCAAATATTCTGTTTCT